ATAATATTTACTTATTATTTATAAATAATATTTACTTATTATTTATAAATAAATAGGCAGGTGCAACTGGGTGGATCAAACAGGCAGGAAATATGGATGTTAGTGTTTTAAGGAGGGTTTCAGCTTCATTTTCAGTGAGAAATAACTTCCATACCTTGATCAACTGGAGGGATGGTGTCTTTTTAAACCTAGAAATAGGTGGTGGCTCATCTTAGGTGGATGAATAATGAGTAATTATTGATAATGAATAATTCATTCATTATCAATGAATACTTTTAACATTGTTTTCTTCTCCAAAATGCTTCTCAGAGTATAAACAGAGGTTGCACATTATATAAAATACATATAAAAGTGTCAGGGAGGGGGAACTTCAGGCAGTGGAGAGGTCAGAGATGTGATGAAGTTGGGAAAATCCAAGTGCATTGTTTGCACTGGGGTTTTTAATCCAGATTATTGACATTTATTTTCCAGACATTTTAACTCTGGCTGCAGGCAAACAGTAGATCAGTGGCACGATTTGTAAAATGAAGCAGAAAATAGTGGATTCCACAGCCTGCTTTTGGAAGAAAAGGAGGGGTTTTTTTTAAAAAGTCTCTGGAATTTGTGCTGTGGAGGCCCTGGCCCAGGTTGCCCAGAGCAGGTGTGGATGCCCCTGAATCCCTGGAATTGTCCAAGGCCAGGGGGTGGAATGGGATGGCCTTTAATGTCCCTCCCTACCCAACCCATTCCAAGATTCCATGATATTTCTTACCCTAAATAAATAATATTTGCTCTAAAAGAGCACTTTCAAGCTGCTTTTTATCCTTGGGCATAACCCAAGGGTGCACATGCCTAGGTTGTAATAACAACACCAAGTTTTAATCTTTACTCTGCCATCTCAAAGGAATTTTTTTTATAAAAAGGTAACTTTCAGTAGAAAAGGAGTCTGTTATTTTTTGTTTCTGGGGGGGGGGATATTTTTTTGCCTCAGAAGGGGAAAGCAAGGCCCAAAAGTCCTTGCAGCTGCACAATTGCTGTTTGTTTTTCCCAGTAACA